CAAGTTCATTTGCAACACTGCAGAGTGAGCCCCTGAGCTTCTGACAATTCACCTACATTAATATTGATGTCGCCTGTGCAATCTATTTCTGTTATTTTTATGGTTGTTATTCTACGTCTGCAAAGGTCATTTAAATTATACAGCGGCCGAAAATTTGTTTCATAAATTTTGATATAAATACTAATTACACCCTCTCGGAGAGCCAGCAGGGTAGCGTTCATTTATCACGTTTATACGACCTGCGATGACAGAAAAGAAAGGCGAGGGAGACTGGAAAGCTTTTCTCAAGACCCACTAAAGCTGGCCGAAGAGGCAGCAGGTTGCTGGGGGTGAAGAAGAAATTCCTACCACAATCACTGAGATTTAAGAATCTTTAATAAGGTACGAAAGGTTACCAAACAGTTCTGGAAACTAAAGTGTACATACGAGTTTTTCTAGCCATAAATATTGAATAGCTGTAACATGAATAAACCGGCCCTTTACATGCGGATAAATATGGAAACTAGGAATTATATACATTATGTGGTTGTATCTTTTGCCAAAAGCAACGGACAGTTATAGTTTATATCTTTTTTAATATCACTTTACATAAACAAATGGAACAGTTTGACACGCAGATCCAGGCTCGTACTATACGAATTCTTGACAGGACGTGAAACAACATTTTACTGCACTAAAAGTACTTAGACTTTGGGACGAAATGTTTGCACTTTATACAAAAAAAAAAAAAAAAAAAAAAGCACATTAATACCAATAATATTCTGTTAGGTCGACGTGGAGACTGAAATCGTACAAAGTAATTCACATTTTGGTACACATTTACTAGAACATTCTTGCCATTCAGTACAAACAGTTGGCTTTCGGCCGCCCACCCTCCCTCCCCTCCCCCACCCACCCAGCCCCTCCCCCCTCCCCCAATGCAAAGACCACAACGCCACGAACCCACCCGCCCGCTCCAACCGAGATATAACTATTTACAGAATCCAACAGTACATTTTTTAAGCTAGTAATTCTGTATTTACAAGAATGCAAAGAAAAACAAAAACAAAAAAACAAACAAACAAAAAACAAAAACGGAAGCCCATAGAGCCTGTTCGATTCCGACGAGAAACTGGCCCTCGGTCGGGGTTGGCGGCCCTTGGTCAGGCGGCCGCCTTCTCCTCGACCACCCTCCCGCCCCTCGGCTACCAAACCTTTGCCAAAAAAAAAAAAAAAAAGGAAAAGAAAAAAAAAGGAAAAGAAAAAGAAAAAGAAAGAAATATCAAAGAAAAAGAAAGAAAGAAAAGAAAAAAAATAAAAGGTTTGGGGTATTCTTTCTCTTACTCGGTCCTGGGTCTTTTGGCAGGTTAAAAAAAATAGGACTGCGGGGTCTGGGGCGAGGGGGTGGGGGGGCTGTGTTGATTCGCAGGGTTCATTCAGTAATATTTTGTGTACGTGTGTGTTCAGTCTCTTAAATAGGGTTTTGCTCGGTGTTTTGTTTCTGAGTTTAAACGTACCATTCATTAAAATTGGAAGAGAGCGCGCTGTGGCCGGCTGTGTGGTGGACTGCGGAGGAGGAGGGCGACAGGGAGCTGGTGGTCGGGTTGTCTGTGGAGGGAGACACGATGGTGGGCGGCGTGGAGGACTCGTAGCCGGAGCTGGCGGCGGGCGAAGGCTGCGAGCCCTGCGAGGAGGATTCGTGGACCTGCGGGAATAAAGTCGCGTTTTTACGGAGATACCGAGCGCGCGCGGCGGCCGCCCAGCAGGGGTGAAGGCCGCGGGCCGCCCTCCCCACGCCGCGCTGAATCCCGTGCAGCTCGCGGGAGGCCTGGCGGGCCGGAGGGAGGCTTGCCCGCCTCCGCCCTGCGAAGGCAGCGCTCCAGAGAGGCACAGCGCCCCCGGGACTCACAAAAGAAAAATAGAACTGGGAAGAGAGAGGCTGGACTGGAGGCCAGAGCCCGCGATGGTCCCTCCCGCAGCCGCTGGACTTTGCTTGCTCAGAGTTAGGTAAGCAAACGCTCAGGCCTGCGCGCAAGAGCCCAACTCTTCTGCCGACGCCGGCGGCTCCAATGGCGGCAGCTTCGGCAGAGCCAGCCCGCCGGTACAGCCCTGGCTCCCTACCTGGGCCAAACTGCCGCGGCTTCTGCTCCAGTGCACACTGCTTTTTACTTTTCTCATTCGGCGGTGAACTTAGAACGCCCTGGGGTGCCCCCACCCCACCCCCCTTTCGAGCCCCTGCCCTCTCCGCCCGGCCCCACTCAGCAAAGTGGGACGGGTTCCTGTCTGCCTGCGCCCCCGCTCCTCCCGCCGGCGACCCTGACTCGCCGCCCGACCCTGGCCGAAGAGCAGGACAGGCCCCGGCTCGAAGGCGGGCAGCGAGAGCGCGGCGATTACCTTCATGTGTTTGCGCAGCGAGCTGGGGTGCGTGTAGGACTTGTCGCACATCTTGCAAAGATAGGGCTTGTCGCTCGTGTGCACGTGCATGTGCTTCTTGCGGTCGCTGCTATTGGCAAAGCGTCGGTCGCAGCCTTCGAACTCGCATTTGAAGGGCTTCTCCCCTGGTGCGAAAGGCAAGAAAGAAGTCTGATTAGAACAAATCCTGCAACTGTTTTTAAAAATATAAACCATGGAAGAAATAAAAACCAAAACAAAGCAGCCCAGTGTTAATACTTTGCAAGTTCAAAAACCTGGGTCTTCAATAAAGTCTTATATCTTCAGCGGAATTATTGGTATCTGAACCATTTTAACTCCTAATCCAATCAGATCCGGATTTAATTTTTTAGTATTATTATAAGTAGTGGTAGTTTTTCTAGATCCCAGAGCAGCAGCAGGTCTGACTGCTGGTTTTTCTGCCTGAGGCTATACAGACGATTTCCGGCGGCTTCTACCTAGCTCTTGGTTTCTAATTTTCACGTCGCGAGCTGCTTCTCCTGCTGTTTTGCTCTTCTCTCCACCCCCTACCCCCTCCCCGATGCTCCGCACCCCCCTGGTCGCCTCCTCCACCCCACCCCACCCCCCACACACACTCACATTTTATAAGGTAATCGGGGCCGAGAGCTCGGCGCCGCAAATTCTTCCCTCACTCCGGCATTAAACCCCAAGGTCCAAACGCGGTTCACAGAAATCACCCCGGCAAACCAGAATGGGAAAGCAGACAGGATTCCCCGGCCTTGTTGGCGCTAGAGGCCTGGAATGGCCTGGGACTCAGACCACAGCCTTGAGCTCGCCGCGAACTTTTCTTTTAACTGTTCCCGACCGGTCTCTTTATTTTTAAAGGCCAATGCAGAATATTCGGTGTTTTGAAAACTACCTCATAGAATCTAATTGACAAAAAAAGACTTCGCCTTCCGCCGACTATCCCAACTCTTCAAGCCTACTCAAAATCAAGTCACTGCTAAAATTGGGCTCTTTATGCAGAAGTCTCCAAAAGCCTCCTCAGGCCCAACTTACTTGCTTTCAATCCTCCGCCCCCCCCCCTTTCGGTTTTTGTTTCTTTCTCTGCGCCTTCGTCCTATCTCTCCCAATTTTCTCAGTTCCTTCCTTTGACAAAGTCCTCACTAAGGTGCGTGGACAGAGATGTTGGCTGGAAGCAAACGTTTAGATTTGTCTGCAGCTGGAGCGGCTGGCGCCTCCGCCGCCGAGAGCCTGCCACCTCTCTCGGCTTCGCGCGCACCAAGGTCTCCGCAAAGCTGGGCTTGTCTCTCTGCTCTCCCAGGCTTTTTAGTCCTCATTTTAAAACCTATATTCCTAGATACATCTTGTCCGATCCTTTCTATACCTCTTCATAATTTCAAGCCTCAAACTGAAAACAACAACAACAACAACAACAACAAAACCAGCACACACTTTTCACTGCCTGCCTACCGGAAAATGATGCCCAGACCCAATCGCGGCCGGGTTTGTGCGCCCCGGCCGCTGACTTTTGGATTTCGGGTCCCAGACCCGGGATGAGGGGTGAGGATTCAAGAACAGCGTTTTCGTACCTGTGTGCGTCCTTTTGTGGATCTTTAAGTTCTCAGAACGCGCGAAGACCTTGCCACAGCCAGGAAAGGGGCAGGGGAAGGGCTTCTCGCCCGTGTGCACGCGGATGTGGTTGACCAGTTTGTATTTGGCTTTGAAGGGCTTGCCCTCGCGCGGACACTCCTCCCAAAAGCAGATGTGGTTACTCTGCTCAGGTCCGCCGACGTGCTCCACGGTGACGTGCGTGACCAGCTCGTGCATGGTGCTGAAAGTTTTGTTGCACGACTTTTTCGGGTTGGCCAGCTGCTCTGGCTCGATCCACTTGCAGATGAGCTCCTGCTTGATGGGTTGGCGCATGTAACGGAAGAAGGCGCCGGCGCCGTGATGCGCGGCCATGTTCACGTTCATGGGCCCATAGCCGTGCAGCTGCGGTGCTGCATAATGCTCCGAACGCGGGCTGGTCACCTGGCCGTACTGCTCGGGCCGCGGGTACATGTCCCCGGAGAAGCCAAGCCTCATCTGCCCGTTGACCACGTTGGGCGACGCGTGGCCCGCCGCCTGCTCGTGAAGGCCAGGGAAGAGGAGGTGGCCCGCGGCGTCCGTGTGACCGTGTGGGCCCCCGAAGCCTCCAGCTGAAGCAGCGAACAGACTGTGCTGAGCGCTGGCTGCCGCTGCCGCGTCGCCAAAGCCCCGGTTGCGGAACAGAAAGTCCCGCGTGGAGTTGAAGGCTGCGCTCGAATAGGAGCCGACGTGGCCCGGGTGGTGGTGATGGCCCAGGGCCGCGGCGGCCGCGTAGCCGGGCGCTTGAGACGTGAAGGCCGTCTGGCCGGCGGAGGCCAGCTCGTGCGAGCTGGGGTTGAGCTTGAAGGCGCCCATGCCGTCGGCGAACGGGTTGATGCCCAGGCCCACGTCGCGCTCGGCCACGTCGCCCGCCGAGTGGTGGCGGGACGCGCCAAAGGTGGTCACGCCGATCGCGGGGTACTGGGGGCCGGCGTCCAGGAGCATCGTGGCTGCTCGGGGCGAGCCCCGGCCTCCCCCGCCCCCCCCACCCTCGCCCGCCGAGGAGGGAAAATCAGGAGGAGGAGGAGGAGGAGGAGGAGGAGGAGGAGGAGGAGGAACGGGAGGCGGAGGAAGAGGAAGAAGAAGAAGAGGAGGGAGGAGGAGTCGACCCACCTCGCGAAGTCCTAGCCCGCAGGCAGCGGCGCGACGCGCCGGGACGCCCGCCTGACCAAGCTCGGGGAAGCCGGACGGCTCCGGGCCGCAAGCAAGGCGGGCTCCGGCTCCCGCCAAACAGACCTTGCCGGCCCGGCTCGCACTTTCTCGCCGCTCAGTCTCTGCCGAGAGGACCTTGCGTCAAGGCTGCCCAGGGAAAGGCATGGAGCATCTCAGCCCCCCCAAAAAAACTTCCTCCCGGATTTGTAGCATAGAGGAATGTGAGCGCCGGAGCCGCGACTGCTCGCCCTTTCTCCGCCTCGCGCCGTATGCCCCTCCTTACTTCTCCACTAGCCCCTCGCCCTTTCTTTTCTCTCTCTCTCTCTCTCTCTCTCTCTCTCTCTCTCTCTCGCCTTTCTCTCAGGCTCGCCTTCTCGCTCCTTCACTCTCCTTTTTCCCCCTCTGCTTTTTGCGAAAAAAAAAAGGGGGGGGGAGAAAAAAGAAAGAAAGAAAAAACCAAAGAAAAGGCGCAAATCATGCACAATATTGTCTTTTGCGGTTTATCTTCCTGGGGAGAAACTTTCACCTCCTCAGCCGGGCGGTGAGCGCGAGACTGATAGCAGCAATCATTCCTGCAGATAAATGAATTGAAAGGACGACACCGTCCCCCCCTTGATGAATGGGAGCAGGGGGAGGTGTCACGTGCTGCTGACGCGGGCGCCCATTGGTGTGCCCACACTCCCCCCTCCTGCAGCCGCCGCGCCAACGGAGGGCGCGCCGAGGCGCCGCGCGCCGTTCATTGGCCCGCCCGCCTCATCAATCCCAGGTATTGTAAAGCGCTTGACATCCCCTTTTGACAAACAGGGCTGCCAGGAGTAGCAACTTTTTTTTTTTTTTAGCCAAATTTTTCCCTCTTCTCATGGAAAAATTGTTTTGCCACGATTCCTTTTCCTTCTCGCAGTGATATACATTCCTTCTCTCTTCTGATGCCTCTCTGTCTCCCATTCCCTCTTCCTCTTCCACTCCCTCTCACTCTTATTTCTATCTCTATCATCTCTCTCTCTCTCTTTTTCTCTATCTAGTCCTTCTTCAGACCTGCTCTTAGCTGAGCGATTAGCTACTCCGGGCGTCTCCGAGAGTAGGAGGTGGGGATGGGGCTGGTAAACACAGCTAAGGCACTTCCAGAATGTCCCGATTCAGCAACTTTCTTTTCTTTCTTCTCCCCTCTACCCCCACCCCTTCAAGGGCAGCAAAGGAGGCTTTTGTTATTTGCTCCTTTTGAAGTTTGCTTCCCTCTTGCCTCGTCCCCCTCCTGTTCATAATTTAAGATCTCGGTAGCACACGGGCACGCCACTATGAATTTACAAGAAATGTGATTTCTGAGGGTAATCGGCTGCCTCGATTTTCTCACTTTTATCAAATAAACCAGGCTTCCTGCGCTTCCCGCCCCCCCCCCCCCCAGGAGGGGCGGGGGGGGGGGCTCGCTTAACTTTCCAGATTGTTAAAGTGACATATTTTTGTGTGTGGCAAATTGGAAACATTGTTGCCGAGTTGGGTTTTTTTTTCCTTCTCCTGGGTTATTCTTCTTTTTTCTTCCTTTTCCTTAGTCTCCCTGGTTTGCCCCCGCTAACCCCCTCCCTCTGCACTCCTGTTCCCAACCGAGGCCCCTTTCATTCAGGTAAAACTGTAAATTTCCCAACGCGCCATTGTTCTTCAATACTGCCCAAAGCTCCCTAGAAATCCCCGAATACTTTTTTGGTATTTAAATCCCCGATAGATAGGACCAATGTAAATTTTGTGACATTCAAACCTTTTCTGGTTCACAAATCAGTCACCCTTGTCACAGTTATTGAAATTCCGCAACTCGCCACACCAGGACGGTGGAAAAAGCGGGCGCGGTCTTTGTTGCCGACCAGGCTTTTGATCGCCAGAGAAAATTTACTTACCTTCAGATGAGTGAGCAGAAAAAGAAATAACACTCCCTTTGATTTAGTTAGGAAAATGCAGACATTTGGATTCAGTGCAAACATACAACACTCGCTTGTTTTCGCGATGCGGCCCTCGATTAACCTGTCTTTGCCCAGCGCAAAGTCTATTCAACAACTGCGCGTAGTTGCTTTTTGTCCCGTCCACAAAGAGCCATTGACTATATATTAAAATGATTGTTGAAAGGTAGAGGAGTATGGCACTTAAAAGCAGGAAAAAAAAAATCCCTGTGACTCAATCAATTAAGGCAAGCAACATTTATGCATTTCAAAAAATGCACGCAGATGCGGGGGGTTGGGGGATGAAGGTTGCATTTCTGGAAGCTCTGTTTAAAACCCAACAGCCCCGGCCGGCCGGCCGAGGGTTTAGCTGTAGCGTCTGCATATTCATTAGGTCTAATTATTTTCTAGTAAGGAAAACACAAAAAGCCAAGAGTCGGAATCCTTCAATTTGCCCTTTGTTTCTAACTTCATTTGGCTTCTTTGCAGCTGAATCAGAGCCCTAAACTCTTCTCAGACAAAGAAACCTCAACTCATCCTTTCACTGGCGGCCCCGTTAGGAAACTCACCAGTGCCCCGGCGAGAGGAAAAAATGAAAATGAATATTTTTTTGCCCAGTCGCCCGCGCGGGCCGCACCGGTGGGAGGAAGGCAGGGTCAGCGGCAGCCTCTCCTCGCCTTTCTAATTTTCTGGTCTTTTCATCGACTAGATTGTCACTTGGTGTTGGCAAGATGAGTTGCCCTTTCCCTGGGCTCTCCCGGCTCAAAACTCCGCTTGTGTATCTGGGATGGTTTCCCGTGTCTGAAGGGACCTGGCCAGCATTTGCGCTTATTGTGCTGGGAAATAGAAATTTGAGAAAGGAAAAAAAAAAATCATATGTTCTGTCCCCAGCAACAAGTCAGTATAGCAGCCCAGTATTCCCCACCAACTTTGAGTGGAACCAGGTTGGGGAATGGAGGGAAAAGGGCTATGGCTTGAGGGGTGGTTTTTCAAAAACAAAACAAAACAAAACAATTAGACAGTTTGTTCAAAAGATGTATCAGAACTACTCAAGGGGAAGTTGGATCTTGCCTTCATTTCAGTTGTAAAAACCTTATTTGCAAGGAGAAGTTTTCTCTAGAGGCTGTAATAGTGTTCTCACTAGGGAGAACAAATATTGAACCCACCTCGCCTGCCGTTCAAAAAAAAAAAAAAAAAAAAAAAAACAAGGGAGGGGACCTGAGGGGGAATGGTAGCCGTTGGGAGGGGGAGAGGGAAAATAATTCTTCAAAAAAGAAAAGTCAGTCCTCTCTCTCCAGTCCGTGGAAAATCCAAGGGGGACGTTGACAAGAGGGTATTTTTAGGAAACGCTTCCAAATATACAGGGTAAGAGTGAATGTGAGGAAAAAAAAAAAAAGTTGTGGGTTGTAGAAGTTATCAAGTGGGATTTGCGGCGCTCTCTGCAGGAAACGCAAGCGGCTCCAGTTCAAAGCCACATGCACCAACGTGACATATAAGCCATTAAAATATCATCCTGACGGCTCATTTCTGCTTCATCATACATTCCCTAACTGCTTCCCGAAAGCTGGAAAAGGAGAAATGAAGGATGACCGCCTCGCTGGAACCACAAAAGAGAGGCTTGGAGGGGTTTGTGGTTCCCCCTCGGCCACCCCAAAGTGATGTGCAGAAATGAGGCGATCCCGGCAACAGGTGGAGCGGGGTAAGTGTGTGAGTCCAGGGGGCAGATAGACGGGACCTGTACAGCCAGCTGCCGGGTAGCAAGCGCCCTTCGCGGGGCCACTGGCACCCAAACCCCACTGGGGAAAGAGGCCCAGCTAGACTTTCTCCCCATCCCCTCCATCATTAGCCCCCCAACCGTGGGCATAGGCCCCACCCCATTGACATTGAGGGGAGGAGGGGGCCCTTCCGCCAAGGGCAGCGCTGGGGATGAGTCCATCTTTTCTTCCCGGGGGGGGGGGGGGGCAAGGAGGACGAATGGGGTTCCCACTGGCACCGGGACCAAGACCAGCTTCTTACCCACCCGCCTTTTCTCCCCTCCTTGTAAACTGCCTGGGTGCCCCACCATAGGCACAAGGAGGGGAGTCGTGGCGGAGAGCTTTCTTTTCTTTTCACCAAGTGAGCGGGACCCTCTCCAGGAGGAGGACCCCCCCCCCCTCCAGGCAGCTTCTCGCCCGTCCCTGCGAGGATGGCAGGGAGGGACCCGGCTTCCCCTTTCCAGGGTCAAAGGAGCTAAGTCAGCCTTGCTGGCAGCAAGATGATGGAACTTCTCCGCCCCAACCGGAGGGGAGAGGGGAGATGCTGGCTGGGTCAGCCGCGGGGCCCGGATCCTCGCCCTCGCGTATCCTCGTCCTGCTTCAGGAAGTTGACCGCTGGGATCCGCTCTCTGCGCGTAGCGGGCCACGGGTTCGGGACTTGGCTTTCTCTCTCCCAGATTCGAACGAGGGCTACGACTAGTTCTCTGGGGAGCAGGCCGCAGCCGCCTAGAATTCTGATCAGTATCTTAGACATTTAGGGACACAGGAAATTTGGGGCAAGTAAGGCGGGAACTGAGTCGAGATGTGAAAGAAAGCTAGGACTGCCTCAAAGGCTCGACCGGAAAGTTTTGGGTTGATGAATGAGGTTGGCGGTCCATGGGGACAGCTGGAAGCCAGCGAGGTCTTAGGAATGGAGAAGGGGTATTGAAGGGCTGTACCTTGGCCGGCACTGTCTGCAGGAGGCTCCCTATGGATTCCAAGGCCATATTTCTACCCACTTTCGAACAGCATTGGCCTCAGAGCGACCCAAGGCGAGGCACCAACTTCCTTTCCTCTATCTAGCTGCCGGCAGGTGGGGGTCGGGTCGGGGGTGTTCAAAGAGACAGTTAAACGTCCCGGCTTGTCCGGCTGACAACCCACTAATGCATACTCTTCTTTGAGCCCACGGAGGTCACCCAGCCTTCAGCCCGCAGCCGGGAAACCCCGGGACTCTTTCCTCAAGGGAGGAGAAAAAGGCGAGAAGGCCGTCACACAGTCCAGCCTTGTCTCTGTGCTAAAGGGCCTGATGGAGGGGAGTCGGGGAGATGTCGGTGCAGCTGGCAATAGCAGACTGCGGGTAGAAGCCAGGAGCTTTTTTTGGTTTTGGCTTCAGAGCTCCCTGGCAGGTTGAAGGGCCCCTGTTCTGCACCGTCCCAGCTGAGCCGTGGCCGAGAGGCCGGCATGCCTTTGCCTGAGTGCCTGCGGGTTAATCAGTGCAGAGCAGCGTTCATGGCTCCCGGACTAAAATCTCTGGCTTGGAGAGCAGGCTCTAGGTGACCTCTGACCTTGGGCAGGCTTGAGCAGTCCGGGGCGACCCTACAACGTTCAGCCTCGGTGTTCCCCCAAAGAAAAACAGTGTCTTTTGCGTGTACCCACCGGCCCACCTGCTTGGCTCTCCCCCAAACCAATTAATTACGGCAGCTGGCTGGCACCCTTTCCTCTTCTCAAAGTGTGAGGAGGAAGGTAAGTTCTGATGTCTCCAGGTTGTGCTCCTGACTCCTGATTAAGTAGCCATGGGAGTGTGCGGAGACAAACCAGGAGCAGTAATTTGAGGAGAACTTAGCCAAGCATTTTCAGAGCTTTTATATCCCTGGCTTAGTGGGGAACTCATGTCTAGGGGCCCAGGGATTGTTCCCATATTCTTTCACCCCTCCTTCAGTGAGATAACTGGCTTGCTAAGTGGGACCAGAGTTTGAACCAAAGGAGGAGATATTTACCCTGGTTCTCTACACCAGCCTGGTGATGGAGCTGCTACAGAGCAGCATAAGCTCTCAGCTGCCAGGCTGCCAGCCCAAAGCCCAGCCTCTGCAGCATTTGTTTGCATGCCTGTGGGTTTGTAATGCACAAAAGACTGCCAGGATCTAGGGGTAGAAGCGACCCAGGCCTCTTAAGCAGGGAGGGACTTGGGCAGCATTGTGGGTGGATGGGGCTCTCTAGGGAAACACACCCATTTTCCTCTGAAGCAAAAAGGTAAATTCTACTAATCCCAACCAACCAGGATGTTTCCAGTGCCAGATATCCTGCCATGAGGAATTTAGAGCAAGGATGCCTCGCGTGCCAAACTTCTGTAGGATGCAACGTTGCCCCCCCCCCCGTTCTTTCCTGATTTGTGCAGGGAAGAGCTTATTACTTTTGGGGATAGAAGCCTTTTGTTTAGAAAAAAAATTGAAAATAAATAAAACCCTCTGGGAAAAGGTAAGTCTACCCCCCCACACACACACACCCCTCAGGCTTGGACCTAGAAAAGATAGAGGAAAGGGCAAAAACACACAAGCTAGTTCAAGCCCAGGTTGAGGGTTGAGGGAGAGAGAAAGAGATCTTTGAGCATAGAGAATTGGAAAGCCTTTGAGATAGCAGAGCCCCATTTGGATTTGGCCTGTGGTTCAACAAGTTAAACAATCGCTTGTTCTGTGGGCTGGAGTGTCAAGACAGGCAGACGTCCTCATTGACAGAGGGCGTGCTGTGTTTGTCCAGCCTGAGACCTTTTCAATGACTGTTTGTCTTTCTAGGCCAAATTGAGGGTTGGGGCTGGGTGGATCGTCTCTCTTTGGCTGTTCCACTGTCGTTAGTGTTGCCTGACAGATGCAAAGGTCCCCAGGATGGGTTTCAGACTTTAAGATGGCCAAAGGTTTGGTAGCATTATCCACAAAATGAATTTGATAAGGGATGCAAGTATTGCGGGCGGGCCCCCCCCCTGCAGTTCTGACATTCTTAACTAAGAACTGGAGCCAACCAGGACCAGATGATAGAAATGATACTTTTCCCCCCCTATTGTGGTGAATTTTATACTAACTTTAAAAAATCAACCAATGATGATTTCCAAATGGGTTTGAGGGTGGAAGCCATGTAAGGATAAGGGATCCCACACCACTATGGGCAAGATCTACAAATCCACAAAGAAATTTCTCTCTTCTCAATTTCAATATGTGTACCTCAATTTTTAACCTGTCAACCTCCCAGAGGACACCTAGCCCTCCTCATTACATTTTACTAAACTCAGTAAACTTAAAGAAAGAAATGGGAACTTCTCATACATTAAATTCAAATTCAAGAAGTTAGAGGTATTTGAACACTGGCTGGTGCTTAAATCCTATTTACAAGGGAAATCAACAGATGAGTTTCACAAAAAAATGTCTAGGAGGAAAATGATTTTTAATATTTTGTATCATGAAGGATATATTGTTTTGCAACGGTAGTTCCCAGCAGAGTGCTTTCTCTCACCTTAAATGGTTTAAGAAAGACTGAAAGACTCTTCAGACCACACTGTTTTTCACTCATATATTAAGGCCACACAATCTTGCCATACAAACATGTATGAAATTGTTTAACCAGTGACCATCTCTCTTTTCTTCTCAAACAGGCTCAAAGTCAGAAAATGAGATACAAGACTTCCTTGGTGATGAGGAAAAGATTACGGCTTTACCGAAACTCCCTAAAAGAGTCTAGTAAGTTAAAATCCTCTTTCGAATATTGGTTTGCTGAAGTTATTCTTTTATAGTGGGAAGTTTTGTTTGGTCTTCTGGTGATGTTGAGTTGTGAGCTTGGAGATATTTCTTGAGTTCCAATGAAACTGAGAACAACACCTTGGCGTTTGATGCATTTGCACACAAATCAGTGACACAACATCCCACCAGCAGCCAGCTAATCCCCCTCAATGCCTACTCATCTGGACATTCTAGAATTAATATTTGACGACTCTCTCATTGAAACAACCACCCCTGACCTTCTGCAGTTCCACTGTCACATTATTCTATGACATATTCATCTTGAATTCATTTCCAGACGATTTGATTGGAATGAGGTTTGACATGTATTGGCTTCCATGAAAGGAGCAGACTTTGATCTTGGTGATGGGGTTTACATGATATGCATCATCTTTACCAGGGACACCAGCCTTCTGCAATGTGGCGGCAACTACGTTCCCACAATGTGGTGTCTGAACAGGGAGTGACTGACAGCCACTCTGTCAGGAATACCTTCATTGTGAAGAATTTAATTTAATATTCCATTTAGAATAAGCATATGATTTAGGGTTGGGTGTTTTCCCTTCCAGGCGCTTCTAGTTTTCCTCATTTCAACTATACCACCAACTGATGATGCTTGCCTCCAAGGTATTCCCTTGGTGGAAGGAAAATCAACCTTCTTAACAAAAGTTAAATGGACAACTCAGGAAATGGCTTTCTTCTATTATTTTGGGATAATTCGATGGTAGAATTCTCAAGAGAGATGTGCTTATTATGTAAATTCACTTGTTTTAATCCCTCAGTGCTGTTCTGGAAGGTCTTTGACCATGTTTCTTAATCTTTTGTCAAAAGATGTTTAGCAGAACCCTTGCTTGGAAATTAAATTTTATCCAAGTATATTTTCTTTCATACTCAGTTCCATTAATGATGATTAAAGCCCAAACTTCCATAGCAGAGGAGGGAAATCTCTTCCTTTATCTCCAAAATCCTAGATCTCATCTCCTTTGTACAATTTGGGCTGGGACATACAGTGGGCTCCTGGGGCTTAAGTTATTATTTTTTTTTCATAAGACTAGAGACAACCTCTCACTGCAGGAATCTAAAGTCTGTCTGTGAATAGCCTATAAAGAGATATGTTTCTTGTTTGGGGTGGTAACCTGGCTAGAAACAGGGAAGAAAGGATTGAACAAGTGACTGCAGATCTAGATGCAAATATTCAGACAAGAAGGCTTGTTCTCGTCTAGGCTCTGTGTGGTGGCCCTCAGCTCCTGAGACCCTGCTCTGGGCATAACCTGCAACAGATAATCATCAGTTAGCATTGCTTAAAAGATCAAAGTGGAAAAATGGCCTAGCTATTGATCTGAAACCTCCCCCATTTCTTTCTTTTCCAAAGGAGAGAGGTCAGACATTCCCCTATTTGAACCAGTGATGTGAGGAGCTCTGGCAGATGGCAGGGCCACCAAATGTCATATTTCTATACAGCAGGGCTAAAAAATCACTTTAGTGTATGCTGTTGCTTTGGCCAGGCTGAGGTGAACAAAGGTTCTTAGGGCAGGATTCTGGGCACTGGATGGATGTTTGGCATCTGGTGGTGGAGTTGCTCCACACAGGCCCCTACAAAAGCCTCCAGTGCTTCTTTGAATTCTGCTGAAGATCTCTGGGCTGCAGAATGTGGTGGTTTTTCTCCTGCAAATCAAGTAGGAAAGTGAACTCAACAGGGCTGTAACTCCCAGCATGGTTAGAAATAGAATGCTCCAGCCAAGCATTTGGTATTGGGAGTCAGTGTGGTGAGATAACTTTCTGAAAGAAAAATTGTGAGCACCACTGAGGAACACCACTCCTCAGCCTGCCCTGTCAAGTCAATGAAGTCAGGACTCTTTGATACTTGGCACTGGAAGACTCAAAGAAACCACCCTGAAAACTAAAATATACCTCCCTGCCATCGGCGTTCCACCTGTCATCTGTGGTTACCTGGATACTGCTTTGGGTCTTATTTTGGAGATATGCCTTAAAGACCCTCATGTAATCACCTAGAGTTCCCTGTCTATATTAGTGGCTAAATGGATTTTTTTTTCCCCTCCCTGTCTCTGTCCCTGGGAAAATGTCCCTCTAGGAGAATTCCTTGTCCCATTTCTGTGTTTAGCCAACGTGTGAACCATGTGGCTCTAACGAACTTGCAAGGATCAGACAGCCTTACTGACCTGCAGGTCAAGTAATCCCTGGCTACTCAAGAAGCATCTACCCGGGATGGGTCCATATGTTTTCAGTACTTCAAGAGAATGCTGCATCTGGGAAGGAGCTCCATGGGGCCAGGTTACTATCGGTGAATTTGGCTGAATCAGACATATCTGCCCTTTCGCTGTTGGCACAAAAAGCCACGCACATGTTCAAAGTTTTTCAAGGGTAAAGTTAGTAAGAGTATATAGCGTACTAACAGTCTACAAGTATAAAACCTCTGCTTCTTATCCCTAGAGTCTACAGAGTCAGGGCTTAGAACTTAGGGGGTCCACAAACTTGAAAGGGAAAAATTGCATCTTTATTTTCACCACTTTCAAATGGAAAGTTACATGTTTCTTCTACTATATGTGTTAACAAAAACAAGACTATTAGAGTCCACTGGCTTCACAAAGCTTCCAAAAGGGTCCATAGACTAAAACAATTTTAATACCCCTGTTCTCTGCTGTTATTCAAAGCGTATGATGTAGGTGAGGTCACAGTTATATATTGAGGGATCCATTTTTGCGCAAATCAGAGATTTAATGGGAGCAAAAGTGGATGATGAGTTTGACAAACATCCTGAACAGTAGGTTGTAGATCATGTAGGTTCAGGTGGAAAAGAAGATATTTTTATTGCTGGACCACTGCAGAAGTATCCCTGCACTTAGGCCTGAAAGCTACAGGAGGAGTTGACTAAGCTCTATGTTCAGAGTTGGTTAGGAGAAACAGCTAGGCAAGGGGTCCCAGGGAGGAACACATTCATTTTGGGTTTGGGTTTTTTTGTGTGGGGGGGCTTTTTGTTTGTTTGTCTTCAGAAGCCCTTCATGGGTTTGGCCCACACTTGCCTAGACAACTGCGCATTCAACAGACACCTGAGCAGTGAGGAGCCTTGAAACCACTAAGACTAGGCCTGGCCATCACAAGGGGGAAGGGAAAACAGAGTGAGAGACAGGAGAGGAGGCTTCTGTGGCAGAAGGGTAAATCCCAGAAAGAGAGAGTGTGGGAGGAGGTAAAAGCCAGGAAGGAGACAAATCCTCAAAGTCTGGTCTCAACACTATGTACACATCCTTGGTTTCCAGAGCAGAAGGGATTCGACTGTCAAAAGCTCTCCTTCAACGTTTCTTTTCCTTTTCTTTTTCCTTTCCCTTTTCCTTTCCCTTTCCTTTCCTTTCCTTTCCTTTCCTTTCCTTTCCTTTCCTTTCCTTTCCCTCTCTTCTCTTTTCTCTCTCCTCTTCTTTTTTTCTTTTTCCTTTCTTTTTTTCTTTTTCCTTTCTTTCTTTCATTTCCTTTCTTTCTTTTCTTTCTTTCTTTCTTTCTTTCTTTCTTTCTTTCTTTCTTTCTTTCTTTCTTTCTTTCTTTCTTATGCTAACGCAGCATCTATTGGTCGCATTGCTTAAGCTCTTCCGGCCGGCCAGAGGAGCAAAAGACCTGGACTTGTCAAAGCCGAGGGAAATTGTGTAAGTTAATCCCTCGCTAAAATGCGGCCCGAGCGGGGAACAATGTATTAAATGAAGAACGTCTCAAAGAAGCTGCCAACCATTATAAGTAAGTTAATTATTTTTAAAAAAAAATTAAAAGAAACCCTTTTTACTGACCAGGAAATGTATAAGAATAGTTCTCCGTGCTGGGGGTGGGTGGGGCAGCTCAATCAACTCCAAGTCAGAGTTCCTTGCAATCTGCCCAAACTTCTCACCTCGGCTAGGGATATGGGATCTTTTACTCAATCCTTACAACTTCTCTTAAAAATCCAAGCTTTCCTCTGCTTTGGAGGCCCTTACTATGGCCGCTAGGGAGGCCCAAATACCTAAGTTGGCATTTTTGGCTTCAGAGAGCAGGGCAGGCGTTAGGGCGAGCAGCCCTTTAAATCGCCAAGCTGTGCAGCCAGCCCTAGCCGGTCGGCGGCTCAGACAAAGGACACTCCCCCCTGTTCAAGCGGTACTAGGCTAGGCCGAAACTGAAAGGTTTATTTCCTCCCGCCGACCCCCACCCCAAGACTGTAGAGCCTCAGCCTGGGAGGGCGTCCGGCGAAAGGAGGCCGTGGGCCCGCAGTCCCTTTCACAGCCTGGGCTGGGAAACTTGGTGTCCACTCTTCTCAGAGCCCTAAGGGCTAGCGAGCATAGACGCAGAGACTCCGGCCACTGGCAACAAGTGGAGGGAGCTAAAAGTGGAAGTGATCGCGGTCCCGTTTCCCAGAGGCTCTGTTTGGCGTCAGGGTACAGAGCTCAAAACTGCAAATTGACACGGGGAGACCCGGGGATGAGGACCTGTTTCTCCTTGCAGCGTTCCCCTCGCCTCTGTTTCTTTGGCCAGCCGGCCCGCGGGGCGAAGGGGTTTGTGGCGGAGAGGATTCTTAGCCCCTCTCGGGAGAGTGGCGTGGGTTCGAGGCCAGTCTCTCCCAGGTCATTCTGGGTCTGGTCAGGGGCGGACTCTTGGGTTTAGGGGTCTCCGAGCGCCACTTGAAAGGAAGGGCTGGCAAGGCTAGGTGGGAAGGATAGAGTGGGGAGAAGGGAAAGGGTCGGGGAGTCCAAGGAAATGAGAGAAAGAGACATGAGGGACACGAGAAATTTCGGCAAAAGCGAGAAAAAATAATAATAAAGCTCAAGGGCTGCTAGCCTGAGAGTTTCCTCCGCTCCCGGACGCGTAGTCTGCAGTCCCTGGGTACAGCAGCCCCCTCCCCCCCGCCCCTCCTCCCCCCGCCTCTGGCTCCGGGGACAAACCCACCAAGCAGGCCGCCATCCCCTCGCGCCCGGTGCTGCCCGGTCCGCAGGGCTGGACTGCCAGTCTAATAACCCGAGTACTTTACGTAAGGCGCAACACCCCCTCCCCAAAGTCGTGGTGAAAGAAGGCATAACCCAACCCCTCTCACTTCCTGGAGCAGTGAGGCAGCGCAGATCTACTCAGCTTTCCAGAGAGGAGGGGGAGGGGGCTCAAGAGGAGAGAAAAGAATCCGTGCCCGGGTCAGAGCGCATGAGCAGTAGAAGCAAGATATGTTGGGGGTAGGGTGGGGTGGGGTGGAGAGGCGCTGGAGCAGGAGAGAGAGAGAGAGAGTGTGTGTGTGTGTGTGTGTGTGTGTGTGTGTGTGTGTGTGTATCTCTGCGTGTGGCGGGACCTGTCATTGCTGACGTCGGGCCCGGCTGCGGGCCAATAGGCGACCTAGGCGATTGTTCCTCTCCGCGGGCCCCGGCCATGGCCCCGAATCTCTATTCACTTCCTCACGCGCCCCGCTGCTACCTCTGTAGTGTACGGGATTTCAAGTAGGCATTAAAGACTGAGGGAGGGGGAAACACACCCCGAAACTTGAGGGGGGAAAAAAAACTTTGCATAAGTTTTTTGTGGTTGTTCTTTGCCCTCCCTGCTGTCAGGTGACTGGCCTGAGCGACCTGACCTAGGGAGCTCTGGGGAGCCCCGGCCAGGATCCAGCAGGCCACCCTCTTTCATCAGAGCTGGGCACTGAAATTAAAAAAATGGCTGGGGCGCTTCCGCACCACCACCACCTAAAACATCACCGCTTCCCTCACTGCCATTTCCCCGCAGGGCTCCGAGACCCCTGAGTGCTCCAGGGGATTGGCTGCCAGAGCGCTCTGGGGGCGCAGGTCGGGCCCCTCTGGAGCACAGCCCGGGGTCCCCGAGCAACCCACAGACTCAGCACTGCGCACCCCACTGCCCTTTCCACCTGCCCTGCAGTCTCTCTCCCTCTCCCGCTCATGGAGCGGCAGGGGGCTCTACCGAACTGCTGCCCAGCCGGTCCGCAGTGGAGGTGCTTGGCCTCTCGCTGTCCACTCCGTTCGCTGCTGCCTCTGTCTGGCTCGCGGTCCCGGCGCTGACGGCAGAGGCCGTGGTGTGGCTGGGCTGGGCCTGCCCCCCGGGGCCCGGTGGAATGCTCGGCCCACGCCGCCCGTTCTCACGCGCGCTATTTGTCTCCACAACAGGTAGCAGCTCCGGACACCATGGCCCCCAGCTTGCTGCCGCCTCCAGCCCCTCGGTGTTCCCGGGCCTTCAAGAGCAGCCACCGCAGGCCTCCCCCAGCGGCACTTTGAACGGACTCCTGCGTCTGGGGCTCCCTGGAGACATGTACGCGCGGCCCGAACCGTTTACGCCGGGACCGGTGGCCCGCAGCGACGCCCTGGCAGCTGCCGCGGCCCTGCACGGCTATGGGGGCATGAACCTGACCGTGAACCTCACGGCGCCCCACGGTCCCGGTGCCTTCTTCCGCTACATGCGCCAGCCGATCAAACAGGAGCTCATCTGCAAGTGGCTGGCAGCCGATAGCCCCGCGCCCCCGCGCCTCTGCTCCAAAACTTTCAGCACCATGCACGAGCTGGTCACGCACGTCACCGTGGAACACGTCGGCGGCCCGGAGCAGGCCAACCACATCTGCTTCTGGGAGGAGTGTCCGCGCCAGGGCAAGCCCTTTAAAGCCAAATACAAACTTGTAAATCACATCCGCGTGCACACGGGCGAGAAGCCCTTCCCCTGTCCTTTCCCGGGGTGTGGGAAGGTGTTTGCTAGATCAGAAAATCTCAAAATACACAAAAGAACTCACACAGGTCAGTATTCGGCACTGTCTGTCTCGTGCGGACCCTCTGGGGGAGCAGGCGGCCTCTTCTGGGCCCTCCGGGCTGGATTTCCTCAAGTTCCATCTGGGTGGAGGGAGGCTATCTTGGTATTTCCATGACCCAAGTCCATAAAATACTAATTATGCCCTTCTATTAGAATCACAGAAGTTTCCTGAGCCTGTGTGTGGAGGAAAACAAGTGATTTCTGCTCTGTGAGAGGGGGCGAGTGTGAACATACTTGGGTCTCTGTGTGTGCAAATGTGTGTTCTCTGATCGAGCTTGATTTGCAGGTTTTAAAACAGCACTATTCCCCAAAGTCATAAGACATAGTACCAATTTCATTTTCTTGGTCCTTTTGGAATCCTGAGGCAAGTGCTCTTCCCCTGGTGGACTTGACAACCTGACTACCACCTGAACTAAGGGATCATCGGGCCCTTGGTGTCTTCTTGAGGATTTGGGGGTCTCATGGGCTGACTTTGCCCAGGTTTTGGAGCCTTGGTGACCTGACACTTGGGATGTTTGACAAACTCCTTTGCTTTAGCAGAGACCAAGGAGACTCATCTGCCTTATATGTCGTTTACTGAGCTGTTAAGTGAAATGGGGACATGTGTCAACCACATCTGTTAGTTCTAGTTAACAGGAAGAACAGGAGCCTGCTGAAGAGCATGCAAAGTTGAACTCCTCTGGCCAGAAGCATCTCTAATTAATGCAATTGCAAGGAGAAAGTTTTCGCACTTCCCAGAACAGCCTGTGAAGTTACATTAATTAGTTTAGCAGCCGATGTTTGTATTCTCTCTAGCTAGGGTTTTCTCACCCAAACACCCTAGAAGTTTAAGAAGGCAACATCTCCTCTCCTCTATTTTGGGGGCTGGAGAGGGGGACTGGTGGGGAGAGGAGAAGATAAAATAAGTTCCAGCTTGGTGCCCCCCACTTCTCTTACTCTCTTGGGGCTCTACCTTACTCACCTCTCTTCTTGGTGGAAATATCAGCAAAGATTGAAGTCAAAGGACTCCCCCAGGCTGATACTGCTGGGGAAAGAAACTTGCAAAGCCTGATTTCTCCCCCAAGCCCTGCAATCTTGGGGAAGGTCCTTGGCCAGGACGCTGGCACAGGTGGAGTCCAGACCAAAGTCCACTCTTAGTTTCCTTTATTTCCATAGTATATCTAGAAATGTACAATTTCCCCCCCATTGTTTCCAGTATCTTTCCCACCCCCTCCGCAAGCAGTTGTTCCCCTTTAGCGCTCTCCGAGTTTCATCCCAGAGGAGGGGAGGAGAAGTGAGGCCCCATCACCTCCCACAGGCCCGCTGACTCCAGGAGTTGATGGCCCGTACTGCGAAGGTAGACGCGCAGTCCTGAGCCAGAGAAGGAACTCATTTTTAATGACGGGTTTGTTTTTGTTTTTGTTTTTTTTAACAAACAAACTTTTACTGCTCTTTGCCGGCCTACTGTTTGAAGTCCATGAAGCAGAAAATGGTTAAATTCTTAGTGCAATCGACCTACAGCAGAGAAGCAAGTTCAGTGCGCCCGGGCTGGCTCAGGTTTGCGTCCATTCAGGACAGAATTTTAAGTGCGTCCTTTCCACTGGCAGTCCTGACTCATTATCTCTGGAGTTGAAAGAAAGAAAGAAAGAAAGAAAGAAAGAAAGAAAGAAAGGAAGGAAGGAAGGAAGGAAGGAAGGAAGGAAGGAAGGAAGGAAGGAAGGAAGGAAGAGAGAGAGAAAAAAGAAAAAAAAACCTACTGAGATTCTCCTGCTCCCGCGTTTCTCTCAAACCCCCCCCCCCCCCAAGTAATGAAAAGACAGAGAGAGGGGGGGAAAAAAAACAACAAAATGTTTCTCAAATGGCAATAGACCTCACTACAAATTATTCATGAAGACAGTTCTCGATTCAACAGGAAAATAATTGCCTTTTCAAATATTAATGGCGTTTCATTTCCTCGAGTCGCGGAAGCGGCGAACAGGAGCTGATTTCTCAGGAGTTGAGATTCTCCCGGATCTGAAGCCCGGGCCCGGCTTGGGAGGCAGCTGCCCCAAGCCCCATGCCGAAAGGTTTCACTTTGTGGCGGTCACAGCAATCCCGGAACAATGGTGCCGCCGCGAGGGAGATGCGGGGCAGCCGCCGAGCTCCGGCCCGACCCGGCCGCCTGTCCCCCAACCCCCCCTTCTCGGGACCCCTCAGCTGGGGGCTCGCCCCACCTTCCCCGCCAGTCGTTAGAGAGAGACAGGGCGGGGGGTCCCAGGTAGAGAAGTGACCGCGCCGCTACAGAGATGCTCGGTAACCTGGTCCAGCCACAAGTGCGAGAAAATGGCGCTAGCCGAACTGCCCGGCGGCTTCCGAACTTTGTCCGGCGGGCCTGGCGCAGGGCCGCGGAGGAGGCCGCTCCCGGGTGCTGAGCCTCTGGGAGGAGACTCCGGCCCCTCTTGACTTAAGCCCCAGGCCCCGGCCGCTCCGGACCGGCTGCAGGGTCCTGGCCCTACCCTGCCTCTGCACATCCACCCACCCACCCAGGGCGCAGCGCCCGGACACTGTGGGAAGGGAGGGGGCGGGAAGCAGTGTATGGGGGTGGGGGTGGGGGCGCAGTGTTAAGCGTGAAGTCCAGGGGGCCTCCTGCAGCTGGGGAGAGGCCGGGAGGGCGCGAGTGGGCGCGGCCTCACCTGGCATCCCTGGGGCCTCAGAACTTCCAGACTGCTCGAAGTGCCATGCTTTTTCCCCTCTGCTCCTCGTTTGGGATGAAATCATTGTTTCTGTTTTACGTGAATGTCCAACGAGGTGCTGGCAAGATGGGATAAGGGGAATATTGGGGAAGGGGGGCGGTCAACGTCAAATTCTATTCCTCCTCTGTGTTCTCAGCAAATCTTGTTTTCTTTTGCAGGCCCTGAATTGCATGGTTCTTGTAAGTAATCTTAGAAAGAAAAGAAGGAAGGGAGGAAGAAAAGTTTTAGTTTTGCAAATGCCAACAGGGATCAGAGAGGAGAAAACAAGGGGCAAATAGGGACACTGATGTATTCTGCATCTTTCTCGTTTTTGTTTTTGCTTTTGTTTTAATAAAATGGTACCAGTGTGCCGAGAAATGGCAGATGCCAGCACCGCCCAGTGTTCCACTGTATTAGCAGTACTCCTGCAGGGTCAGAACGCAACGACCCGGCCCTGCCAGAACCCTGGGCTCACTATCCGCAGCCGCACGGAGGCAAGGGTTGTGTGCAAACCTCTGACTCCGCCTGAGCTTCAGCCCGGCTCAGAATAGGGGCTTTGTGTGTTCAAACCTGCCCCAAAGCACCCAGCCTTCCTGGAAGCGGCGGAGAAGCGACCACAAAGGCAGCAGTCCTCCAGCCATGCATCTCTTTCTTAGCCAGACGCTTGGTAGCCTTTCTCTCAACCCTGGGCGCCCTGTGGCATCCATTGTTTAAAGCGCCTAGACACTTCCTCTCCACCTTGCCACAGCATCTGCAGCTCCAGCAGGAACCTGGGCTTCCGGGTTCTTGGGGTCCTTTCCACCCCCACATTCCAGCGAATCCAGCCGCCAGTGAGCTCCAGGATTGGGGCTCTGTCTTCGGCGAATATTTCCACCCTAACGCGCGCTCGCGCCTTCCCGCGGCTCTATTGGGCATCGCACCACGAATCCGAACCCCTCGCGGGTCTACCCCGGCTGCCCGCTTGTCCTGGCCAGTCTGATCTCAGCAGCTGCGCTCATCCCGAAGCCGCCGAACTCAAGGGTGCGATTACGCGAGAGGCCCCGGATCCCGCCTGGCGCGGGCAAACCCTGCAGCGCTCGCCTCTCAGCTCAGGCCTGCAAGGCCCGAGAGCCGGGCGTGGGTGGTCTGGGGAGGCTTTTCGACCTCTCAAGTCAGTTCGGACTGGGAGAGCAGGCTGCCAGCGGCAGCGTCTCCTGGAGGCTGCTGGAGCAGCGTAATAAAATATTATTGCCGGCGCGCGTATCTGGAGGGATCCCGGACGGTTTAGGCAAGATTTGAAGAATGCTGCTAAATGTTTGCCCTCAGGGGGTAGAAGGGAAGGGGGAGGGGGCTCCATTTCCCGTAAAAATCGCGTCTGAAGTGAATCATTGCTCGGAATACCTTTTCCTGCAGCACGAATCCACATTATGCACATATCGTGTGCAACGCCTGCGCATCTTTAAATTATTCCATCACCTTGGCGTTTGTACAAAATCTACTCTAGTAAATAATTTGGTCCATGGTAGGCTGCGTGCGGGGTTGACTACTGTGTGTGGGGGAGTGTGGGGGAGTGTGGGGGTGGTGGGAGGAATACAGACGTTTGGCTAGAACAGCAATTTTAAAGCAAACGGACGCTAGCTCCTCGGTCAACTCTATTCTCGGGCAAAGATACTTCTGGTTCCGAGTGGAGAAAATTTGGAGGAAAACAACCAGAGTGGATCAGGATGGAAACTCGACAAAGATGGAGTCTTCATCGCTCCTCCTCCTTACCCTCCCCCGCCCCCCGCTCCGGCCCGGGCGGGAGAGGGGGAGGGGTGACGGCGTGCTGGAGGAAGCTCGGGGCGCGCTCTGAGCGGGCGAAGGGGGTGCTAGTCCTGAGAGGCCAAAAGGAAAGAAGGTTTATGAAAATCTTCTGTGGGTCTTTTTCTAAAAATGACAGAGAAATTGAGAAGGGTGGTGAGGCCAAACTGGGGCCACGACCCACGCGCACTAATGTCTCTGCGTTGCCTCCACTAGGGGAGAAGCCCTTCAGGTGCGAGTTCGAGGGCTGCGAGCGGCGCTTCGCCAACAGCAGCGACCGCAAGAAGCACTCGCACGTGCACACGAGCGACAAGCCATACACGTGCAAAGTGCGCGGCTGCGACAAGTGCTACACGCACCCCAGTTCTCTGCGTAAGCACATGAAGGTGCATGGGCGCTCGCCGCCGCCGCCTAGCTCTGGCTACGACTCAGCCACGCCGTCTGCCCTGGTGTCGCCCTCATCGGACTTCGGCCGCGACCCGCCGGTGGCCTCCTCGGCGGCGGTGGCGGCGCGTGGCGCCGACCTGAGTGAATGGTACGTGTGTCAGGGCGCGGGCCCCTCCGCAACCGCCCCCGCCGCACCCCCAAAGCCCCAGCCACCACCTGGTCCCGCCGCTGCCGCTGCCGCCACCGCCTCCGGTTTTAGCGCTGCTGCTCTGGTTGCCGCTTCCGGTACACTGACTGCTTGTCTAGGCGGGGTTACTGAGTCTTGAAGAGAGGGTGAGGAAGGAAGAAAGGATGGAAGGGAAGGAGGGAGAGAGGGAGGAAGGTAACCGCTAAAAGTTGTTAGAGCTCATTGAATATGCTAATATAATATCCATTATTTTAAAATATAAATATGGTTCCCATATTTATTCCGCAATCACACCCAGCACCCTGCACCCACCCCCATCGACGCCTTCACGACTGAGTAGCGTGACACCAGTGTTTGGGTGGAGAAAGTACAGAAAGAGACGAAGGAAAAAAAAATACACATTAGGAGAGTTTATGTGCGAACTTGGCAGCTGCAGGCGGTGAAATTAAGACCACAAAGTCCTCTCGTGGTTCACAGAATGTGAAATGTTTTCCTCGAGGCCTGGGCGGCTGGGACTGCCACCGGGACTCCCTTCCCAGATTCCATTGGGAGCCTCCTCGAAAGTTCCAATCGCAGAAGGTGGCAGAGGGAATCCCTGAGCCATTATCTTGCCTATTTCCTTCTACTTCTGCCTCCCTACATTCTCTCCTCCTTCAGCTATCCTCTCAAACAAAAATGCACAAGTCCCAGGCCCCAAAATTTCCAACTACTTATACAAAGGAGTTAAAAGGGAGAGAAGTTTAAGCACCTACCCCTGTGGATCACATGCCATTCTCCCAAGAGCTGGCCCAAGCACCCAGAAATATCTGCTCCCTATACTTCTACCTCTGGGATAAGGTGTGAGTCCTAACAACTGAAAATGCAGACAAAGGAGTGCTAGAGGGGCTTTAGGATTCAATGCTCTGAAGCCTCCTGGGAACAATCACCCTCTCCCCACCCCCCCCACTCTTGTAGAAGAGCTGCCTTTGAAATCTTGTGGGTGCTTGGCATTGGGGGTGCAGAGTGGGCCAATGACGTCACCGAGCCAAGGCCTCCACAGTGAAGGGATCTGGCCTAGGGAACAGTGCCTGGATGAATCTCATCAATTCTGGGATAATCTTTGTAAAAAATCATACAGTTGTTCGTCTTATTTTTTAAAAGGTGTGTGTGTGGGGGGGAGGACAAGAGAGATTAACTTCAATCATAAATGTTTTAAAGGCAAATACCCAATGGGTCTAGATCGAATGAGTATTCAATATCCTGCAGACCAAGTCCCCAGATAAAGAACCAGATGTTGGGGGCAGAGGAGAGGAACGTCTGCAATTGTTGCCAAGGAGGGGAGGAATCAAAGCCTGTTGCCCAGCCTCTCACCCTCTGCAGGGAGGATGGGGCTGCCCCCAAATCCTTGCTAACATGAGGGAGGGGGTTAGAAAGAAAAAAGACGGGTGAAAAAGCTTTGGCAGACCTATCTCAATCCCCTAAGAATTGGAAGATGGGCGCTCTGTTAGTCCCACCTAGGGGGAGCCCGCTAGACTGCCCAACAAGTCCTGGCCCTGCTACTCTGCTGGGTTTTCTTCTACAGTCTCCCCTTCAGACACTATTAGACAATTCTCACTCCTGCCCTGCAGCCCCACACTTTCATCAGATAAACAATGTCCTAACTGGAATGGGAGTGTTTTCAGTACCTCTCAAAAAAACCCAGAATCTTCCAAACACACACTTAGTGAATCCATTCTTGTGGAAGTGGCCCCGCAATCCCCTCCCCCCCACTCCTCTCACCCGTACAATGGAGTCCAGAGGCCGCCTGGCCAAGGGCCGGCGGCCTGCAGCAAATGACTCGTTCCCATCGGGGAAACACCCGCCCCACCGCCAAGGTGGAGAGGGCATCTGCAGAACTTGCTTCTTCTGACGTTTAAAAATTCTTCCCTCTACAAATCGGACTCATTCCTTTCTCTTCTGTTTCCAGGCCCCTGTTTGCCTTCCACTCCCATCCAAAATAGTGAAATAAAATAAAAATGCTTGGTCGGCCCCTAATAGCCTTTAATTTTTCATTTGCTTGTTACAGATGTCCACCGCGTTGCTCGCAAGGTAATCTCGCCCAACGCAGCTGAGCGCCCGCATCTAGCGCCTGCGACATCAAAGGGTCCGCGCACAAAGCAATGTTTCTTCGCCACGGTGCATCTTCATGGTAAGTTAGGATTTCTATGGCAATGGGCAAGTTGCACTGAAATCCTGAAAGGCCGAGCCTGGAGCCCGTCCAGGCTTTTCATTAAGGACATAATATTTACGTCTAACAGGCCTTTTTTCTTGTGTATACAAGTATATATTTTTGTTTGACGCGGACTAAATCATTTTCATTTAATTTCCGGTAAACAAAACCCACGCGAATGGGCACTTGTTCCCGATCATAATAAAAATGGATAATAATGTGAGGGAAGAAAAGGGCCGCTTGAATCGCCGCTCAGCCCCCTTTGTTTCTGCTTTCTGCGGTGATCAGAGGGCGCATTTGGGTTTGATGGCGAGTTTCTAAAGGCGAGGAAATGGTTTGTAAGAGGGGAAAGAAAAGGAGAAAGGTCTAATCAAGCTCGGGTTGTTCAAAGAGTCGGGTTTTGGGGTTGAAAGTGTGAGTTTGACGGTGCATCAGCATGCCGCGTTAGGCTCGCCATGGAAATGCGCGCGGGGAGCGGCCGCTTCAAAGGCGGCACACTTCACTGCAGACACTCTATTAAGATACATTTGCGCTGACCTTTGCTTTCACGCCATTTAATACTGTCACTACGTTCTCCAGTATATACTTCCTCTTTGGAACCAGCGTCGCCCGCCTTTAGGGGTTCACCCTACACTCCTGTGGGGAGGGGGCGTTTTGATGCCAGGGACGCATTCAGGAAAGGAGGAGCCGGACTCCGTGCACCTTGACTGCGCCCCCAAAGAAGCTCCAGGGTCAAGAGTAAATAACTTTAGGGCAACCTCAGAAGCTTAACAAATGAGCATCCCCAGCTCGATTTTGTGCAAAACGCCTCTCTGCCACTTGAGCAGGGTAGAGGCCTGAATTTGAAAGGGACTTGTGGAGGGGACACACTGGATGAATCTAAGGAGTTCAAACTGTGCCTTTGGGACATTACCACTCTGGTCCCCAGATCAACCCATTCTGCCCCCTCTATCCCAGAGGTCTCTTGCAGGCCCCCATATTGTTTCTCCCTAGTGTGGGGCATAGGATACCCATCAGGCCTAGGCTGGCCCTGGGCATGAACTCAAGAGCCCAAGGCCAAGGGGATAGGGAAGATGGCAGGAAAGTTAGAAGTCCATGTTCCCTTAATTGTCTTGTTGTTTATTTTATCCAAGTACCCCAGTGAATAGGGGAAAAATAAACACGGTGAAAAAAAAAATCAAACAGTAGAGTCTTCTTTAGTGCCAGTCCTTGTGGTTGAATAAAAAGGATGGTCCGCTTTCTATTGAGCTGAGAAATCTTTGAAGTGGGAGTTATTATCTGAGACATTCCTGCTTGTCGTCCTAACAACGCTGATGAAACGTAAAAGGTTCTTTGTCAGCGATTTGTTCTCCTCTCTGTCAAACTCCCTCTGCCCCGTTAGTTTCAAACCGTTTCTAAAGAGATAAAATCAAACTTCTTAAAAAAAAAATACATGCACAGTACACTAACTGATAACTTTAGGACTCAGTCCTGCTAAGGAAAAACAAAAGCAACACAGAGACATCAGGCCCAAGGTCTGTGGAGGCGCACAGATGTTGAGGGGCCTTTTGCACAGGCTCTGGGACATGGGGGAAAGAATGCAGAGGAGGTGTAGGCAGAGGGTACATACCCCAAGCACAAACTGTGTGTCCGCTTCTCTCTGCACTGGCCTGCCCTCATCAGTCCCAGTCAGGTCACTTGGATGAACCTCCTTTGGGGACCCCTCAAACTCCCAATATTCTTGCCAAGGATGCTTGGAACCTTTGACTGCAGCCAAGCAATTGTTAATATTTTCTGCTCCTTCAAAGACAATCTCTTCTAAAAATAGACCCATTGTGTGTTTCTTCCCACTAGCAGCAATCAGCAAGCCCTTTTTGCCATTAATAGAAAGTAGAGTGGCTTGAAGGAGAGACATTTTTATCATTTCCTGTTTTCTTCAGAGTCTTGGCAATTGGAGTTCAGAAAGTTCAGTTTACAAGATAGTGTCCCCAAAGTGCATGCAAATACCCTCCTCCCATCCACATATGCAGTTCTTCATTTAATATTGTGCCCAGGAAAGAAAATTTCACCCTGTCCAGCTTTCCCCAAACCTCCCGATGTGGTTTTAAAGGTGGTTTACATACATAAGGATGTACTGGCCTCCCTACTCTGTGTGTGCTGAATAAATGATTTGTAAAGAAGTTTCCCCAAGCTGTAACCCATGCTGTTATTATAGTTGCTGCAAAATGTTGTCTCTTATATTGATTTTTATTTGTTTACTGGAAGTCCCCATATGTTTGTTTATATCACTAATTTATGGGAAATGTAATGATTGCAATGAATGTGAATTATACAGACAGGCAAATGTTTTGTAATCATAAATTCACACACACACACACACACACACACACACACACACACAAGAAGCCTGACTGAAACCTTATACTATTTGGTACATCTCTACCCACACTGTTTGTGATTTATCATCTCTCCCCCTTAGATCCTTAAATTATGAACTAACTTGAAAGAAAAATAAAAGTTGTTATGTATTTGATTGAAAGTGATTGTTGAATGTCGACTATGAATGAAAAAACATAGTCGAAAGCTGTGGCTTCATCTTGCTGTAAATATGTAAAAATGGATTAAAATCTGTGATTCTCTTTCCCTCCAAAGAGCGTTGTGGACATGGAGCTCCATTTTGCTACTTTCTTTGGTAATAAATGTTGTGACGTTTCCCTTCCTCTTTTGAATTCGAGTGTCCTGTTATTACTTCATCATCCAGGGAAAGAATTGGGGCCCTCCTGAAGCCTCCAGTCCTTTTCCCTGCCTCTCCCTCAGGGCTTTACAGAAACACCTCGGAAGCCTAGTGGTTCAGGACAGCAAAACGGAGGGCCCCACCAAAGCGGCCTTTGTGAAGGAGGCCTTCTCCGTCCCCAATTTCATCCCACTAACACTGGCACTCATCAACCAATTTCCGTCACAGAAGACGGAAAGGTAAAACGATGCTCTCAATGGCTTCCTGGAAAGGTAGCCTTCCCACCGCTGGGACAAGTCGCACCCTTTCACAAACCACTTCTCACTTCCCAGACAAGAGCCCGGTAGTCATCGGGAATAAACACAGGCAAAGAACAAGCGAGAGTGAGCAGGCTTCAAGCCCTGCCTACGTCGTGATGGGGTACCTCGGGCACAGTTGCCCGCAGGAGTCTTCCTAGCGGGAGGATCCCACACCCTCCCGGAGTGGCGGGAGCTCAGACCTTACGACTCCCTTCAGAGAGCTGCGAAAGGCCAAGCCGTTAGACTGGCTACAGCCCACAGCGACTCTTTCCTGGGTCCTGACCGGGATCTTCAGTGGGCTGTAGCTTCGAGTGCGGAAGCCCTATTTGGTCCTGCCGCTAGAGATTTCAGATGTGTCAGAACCCCCTGAATCGTCAGAGCCTCGCTCCCACCTTCACCGCGGTCACAGAGCCTGGAGGGCTCCTGCGACCCCCTCGCCCTGCCCCCCTACTGCGCAGGCGCCGCGTCCGCACACGCTCCGCCTGGCCTCTTTCAACTGGTTCCTGTGGGTCTGGCGGGGATCGGGGGCTGCGCTCCGTGGAAGGGTCACAGCTGTTGGGGTTGGGGTGCTAGGGCTCCATCGAGAACACCTTAGAGAAGCAGCTCTTGGGGCAAAGGCTGCAGTACCGAAGAGAAGGTTGGGGGAAGGGCCCCGGCTCGCAAAGGCGATAGGGGCACGCGCGCGTGGGAAAAGAGCGGCCACAAGGGGAAGGCCCCTGGGGCCGCCAAGACCCGTCCGAGTCGCTGGGAACCGCGAGGGAGGAGGGCCATAGGATGTTAGTACTGGGATTAGCGCCCCCTCCCGTCCCTCTCGAGGAAAGGTCCCCCTCCTCCGGCTCAGGGACAGGTTAGAGGGGCCTGCCTCCACTGCCGCTTCCGTCTCCCCGACCCGGCCTCCTGGAGAGAGCGCTCGTTAAAAGCCTTTTCACCGACAGAATCGCTGCGCTGGGGAGCATGGGGGTTGGGAAGGACTCTCGGGCTCAGCGCTTCGCTCGGTGCGCGCCTGGAGAGAGCCCAGAGCCAGGCCTTTCCCCTGCCCTCTGTATCCGTCTCCGGACAGCAACGTGCCTGCCGCGAGGGCCGCGGGGGGGGGGGGGGGGCGGGGGGTTAGGGCTCGAGCCATTCCTGGGAATGGAGGGAGAAGAGAGTGAGGAGGGATGGCTGCCCTTGGCAACTCGTGCTGGTCGTGCTGCGAAACACCTCAGCAGCCCCTGACGCCAGGAGAGCTCAGACCTCCTTCCGGAAACCACTATTTTTTGGCAGAAAGTTGAATGGGGTAGCCTCTGGGGGAGGTTGCATTCACCGGTGCCCTAGTGCCCTTGGCTAGCCTCACCCTAGGAGACGAACTCGCGTGTCCTCTGGGGGTTACCCACCCCCCACCGCGCAATGGAGGCGCCAAGGGCAGTTTGGGGGTATCTTAGCCTGCTAGTGGTTTCCACTGAGCTTTTCCTCCACTGTCCTGTGCTTCAGTTTCCTCATCTGGTAGAATAGAGTTTGAAAGACTCTCCTTCACTTTGTTGTTGTTGTTGTTTTTTTTTTTTTTTTTGAGCGTTAAATAAGATAATCCTTGAAACATTTAACATTGACATGTTAAGTGCTTGTTAATGTTACTATCGTTACTTTATATGACTCCGACTGCGACTTTCAGACATGTCCCCTAGTTCCTCCCAGAATCAGATGTCCAGACCTGACCGGAAAATGTACCGCCAGGGGCCTCAAGCTCCATAGCAGGGTGTACCTCTCCAGACAGCCCCGAGGCTAGAGGAGGGTTCTGAAACCAGGTGAGGTAACGTTCTCTGAGAGTTCCAGAGCCTGGTGCAGCAGGGCGCTAAGGCAGAGACATTTATTTTTTAAAAGGTCCAAGAAAAATTAAAGGGAATCGAGTTTATTTCGGTGCGAGATGAAGCTGGAGAAACCCAATCGTCTTAATGTCACCCCCATGACTTGTTAAGACACTGGCACTGCAGTGAACTCTACGGCCTGCCCGGCCCAGAGGTTGATTTATTTTTGTCTTAGGTCGGTTGGGTTTTTCAAGATCCGGGTGAGAAGAGAGGGAATATGCGATTGGGGGGTGGGGGGGAGTGCCAGGGTAGGCAACGGAGGACAGAGCGTTTGAGCAAAAGTCACAGAAAAGCATATTTTTCCCAGGAAGGCATCAGAACTTTTGTTTTTAAGATTTTTTATTTTTAAGTAATCTCAACACTCAACCTGGGGCTCAGACTCAACCCCAAGATCAAGAGTCGCATGTTCTACTGACTGAGTCTCCCCTAGCGCGCCAAAGCCTTTTTCTATAATTATAGTTTCCTCATACTGATGTTTATTGTGGGGAAATTAATCATGTCTTGATATCATTAAGTGACCAAAGATCCCATGATAGCATGTTCACTTTGTCACCAACTTCCTGTTTGGGCACCAGGACAGCACCACTTTTTTGCTCAAATATCTTCAGTGAGGAAAATGCTTGAGAGTTTTCTAAGAATCTTATCAAGTTCAGATCCCAAAATCATTCAGGAAAAGGAAACTCATTAGACAATTAGGAGTGGTCTTGGGGGTTGCTTCTGAATCTTCCAGTAGTCTTGCAAACATATGCAACAGCTGCATAGAAAAAAAGAAAGAAAAAAAATCATCTTAGGATGCAAGTTAATCAAATGTAAATATGAGGAGGGAGATGGATTTGAAACTTGTCTTGCATTTTTGGCTTCTTTAGATCCAGTGAGACTCTGTATGAGCCAACATGCAGGGCAAGAATATTGATCAGTTCAAAACAAGTCAGGCAGGGCTGTGCATGGTTCTGAACCTCATAATGAATGGGCAGACTTGGGAAATGTTTGCAGAGGGAAAAAAGCAAAATTGGGTAAACTTCTATGGGTTTGGCTGTACCATGCAGTTGTAGGATAATGGCAAAAAGAAGGGTTAAAAAAAACACTAGTAATATTATTGGGTGATTTATATAGAATATCAGAAGGATGACCCAGTTTTCCCTTGTTTGTGGCTGACGGCTGGCCCAAGCAAGATCAGATTAGCCCGATGAAGATAGTGTTTCTTGCCAGAACAGGGGAGAAAATGCAGACAGCTCAAACTCCTTGGCTTAAGCCACTGCAAGGTCTTGCTCTGGGGGAGGGCAGGGTTAATGGAGGTCTCTAGCTTTTGCACTCATCAATGTATTCAGTAAGTGTTTAAAAATGCACCCAGCATATTCTCAAAAATGTTCTGCCTGAAATGTGCATATTTCTAAGTCATGAGTAATAGGTATCTGCCCCTGAAAGATTTGCTTATTTATTTCCTCTGAGGGAAACAAGGAAAGTTGCCTAATGCATGATGCACAGAAACAATTCTCAATCACACTGCAGCCACTTTCACCTGAGAACGTTTAAGTGTTTCAAATGCTCTATAAAAATTTCCCCTACATTTTCTGCTGGTGCATTTAGTAAGCAAGGAATCCATAGTCAAATGCTGTCTATCATTCAAAAAAAAAAAAAAAAACCCTGCCAATTAAAAAAAAAAAACTGTTGTAGAAAAACAGAGCTTTCTTTAAGTGTGAAATATCATTTCATTGTAAAAAGTTAAAAAAAGGAGCGGTAATCCAACTTCCGGATACTGTTCTGAATTATTTCACCAGACCCTTTTAAAAGGGGATTAGCAGGGCTTTGGGAGCAAAATCCTTCTGTTTTATTCAATCTCTGATTTTATGTTATAATTACTGGTTGTAAAGACTCTGGAATTAGTATGCAGGCACCGTCAGGACACGATGCAGGTGCTATTCTAATGGTTCAGCTTTTTTAATTAAGAAAAGAGGTAAGAAAATTGAATCATAAAAACACTTTTGTGAGAGCTGAGAACATTGAAACGACTGCATGAATAAAGCCTTTATACCTTCCCCTGACAGGTCAGCTACCAAGGCACTGACTTACGACCTTTTCAGGGCCAGACAATAGTTAATAGCTTTCTCACCTTGTCCCCACCAAACCTTTTCTTTTAGGACAGACCTTATGGAAATCGCTTTAAGTTGCTTGACTTCCACACACACACACACACACACACACACACACACACACACAAATATTGCAGTTAGAATAGATACATATCCATATTGAAATGCCTGTTCCTAGGTTCTAACTACAGATGTCTTATTCTCTGGATCTTTTCTCATGAGTGGAGGAAGAGGGGTGTATGGGAGACAGAGATAGTGTATGGGGGAATGGAATCTTCCCTGAAATACCCATATAGGGTATAGGGAGAAGCAGGACCAAGGCCAAGGTAGATGCCCCTCTCAGTTATTGGGAAGACAAAACTAGAAAGATTGGCAGGGGCTGCCCGCTGTTCTGCACTTCTCTGAAATGGGCTCTTCTTGGAGGATTTAGCTTGAAAGCAAAGCTCTTCTTGAAGACAGCCTGTCAGTGGATGTGTCTTAGTCCTTTGTAAGTTCCTCCAGCTCTCCAGTCACCCCTAGATGATCATCATCTTTGAGTAAAGTTGTTCTTGCCCGTGATACTTCAACACATGTCCCCAGCTCGCCCCCAAAGTAATGTTGGAGGCCCAGCAAACGTGCAACAAGACCATGGACCATGGGCCTATTCTTGGGCCGGGGGACTCCCATGACTCTCCTATCCCAGATCTGAACTCTCAGGGAAGCCCTCACTCTGTTTCCTTAGGCTCCTGTAAAACCCCACCCATCGCTTTTTCTTTTCTTTTCTTT